CCAGTACCGGGGCCATCCCGTTTTCTTTGGTTTATGGCACCGAAGCTTTAATACCAGTAGAGGTAGGAGAACCAAGCATCAGACTCCGATATGTAATGAAGGAATCAAAGGGCGAAGATATGAGTATGAGCCTGGAGCTATTAGATGAAAGGCGCGAAGCCGCCCTTGTCTGATTGACCGCCCAAAAATAGCGGACTGAAAGTTATCACAATCGAATGTCCAACCTTCGACACTTCAATACAGGGGACTTGGTACTAAGAAAAGTCACACTGAGCACCCCGAAACCCGAATGAAGGGAGACTGGGCCCGAACTGGGAAGGACCGTACCAAATTATCGAGATCACCGGAAAAGGATCCTACAAGCTTGGAACAATGAATGACAAGAAATCACCGAACAACTGGAATATAACTCACTTAAAGCGATATTATTTCTAAGGTACGACCCTAATTCTTTCTTTTATTTTTCTTTTTACATTTCAAACTGACACTTGCAGGGAACCAACAAAGGATGATACGAGATCCTAGGTCTGAAAGCACGCGTTGCACTCTTTTTCCCTTGTACCGGTTTTATCCTAAATTGGTTTTCCGGCAAGGTTTTTAACGAGGCAACAAGTAAATCGTGCTAAATTAGAATAGAAGGCCGGCTATAAATCGGTGGCAATGATCACAACAGCATTCGAGGCCTCTCTTCGGTCAACCTCGAACATATGGGGGCAATATCGTCGAATATCGAATTTAACAAGGCATTTCAACTTCGTGATTGAAGGGACTCGATCAATAGGATTTATTGTAAGGGCCAAACGGTCAAATGAACCGTGCCCGCTAAAATCACTCGAGCCCTGACACTAAACATGTATACATGTACAACTATTATGCACAAGAATAAAAAAGAAGAGTCTTCTTTGCATATAAACATCTAGTCCTCAAAAATGTTTCTTGCATTTCTCAAGGAACTTCCTACACCTAATGATATCGAGCCTAATGGAAATCTTAACCCGAGTTCAAATATTCACTCGGGGACTAGGCATCGAGCCTAAGGGCAATCTTAACCTGAGTTTGAACATTCACTCGGGGACTAGGCATCGAGCCTAAGGGCAATCTTAATCTGAGTTCGAACATTCATTCGGGGATTAGGCATCGAGCCTAAGGGCAATCTTAATCCAAGTTCGAACATTGACTCAGGGACTAGGCATTGAGCGTGAGAGCAACCTTAATCCGAGTTCGAACATTCACTCGGCGGCTACCGACCGAAAACAATCTCGGACAGTCTGAGATATCAGATCATGGGGGCGCAATACACATTAGGCAACACCCAAATTTCAAAGGCCACGACCACCCCTACTCAAGGACTGTTATCTTAGGCATGCCCAGATAATTCGGGATAGCAAGCCCACTGGGAAATGCTCGAACTAAAAAGGCTACGGCCATACTAATATGGCTCGGAGGCGTCGAGACTCGTTAACAAAAACAAGGCCTTCGAAAAATCTCTTATAACTGGTTTTAAAGGCTATCCTCGACAAGCTATAAATCTAAATTATTTTGGGGAAAAGTTTTTGGTAAAACCGGATCCCTACAATGCCTTAACACAAAGTAAAGGCAAGGTTTATTCGAACCTTTGAACATAACCTAATCATTTCATGCTAAGGCATTTCGACCTTTGCGAATACAAATTAAAAAGCAAAGGAAAGATTCAAAAGCTATGAAAAGGAAAAGCCTTATATATATATCAAAATTTCTTTACAAGGGATGAATAGCCCCGATACATATTCTTTACAAAAGGCCGAACGACCTCAACAAAAGATAGTACAAAAAGTAAAAAAGATCCTAAATGGCCTAATCTTCATCGGGAGCTACATCATCGCCTACAGAGTCGTCACCACCATCAGACCCACCCGACTCTCCAGAACCCTCGGAATCCTCCTCGGCATAAGCCAACTTCCGGGCCTTGGCTTCGTATATCTTAGCATTCTCGATTTCAGCAAATATGTAAACATTCTGAGCATGGACTCCCTTTAGGGCCTCCCTTCAGGATTACCACATCGCATGCTTCACTATGTTTCTCACTTGTTCCTGAATGACCTCGACGTCGGCCTTGAACTGGGACAATTTATCATCGGCCTCGGTCTTGGCCACAACGACCTCTAACTTGGCAGCCCCAAACTCCTTGGCCAAGGCCTCTTGAACAAAAACAACTAAGTTCAACTGAGAATGGAGTCCCTAGATCATATTGAATTACACTGAATATTTCTCCTTTATAGCCCAAAGCTGAACCTTAGCCGAAGCCAACTACGCCCAGGCAGTCTCTTTTCCCGAGGCCAGGTGGTCCATATTTGTTTTCCATTCTTCGGCCTCAGCCTTCACCATATCCACCTCCACCTGGAGCTGCTCGATCTGGTCAAGTCTCTTTTGAACCTGTGGGTTCGGGTCATTATCCAATGTCTCTGAAGCATCATCACTAAGTTCAAATATTCGTATAACCTGCTCGACCAAATCGGCATGCTCCTTCCGAGCTGCTTCTAACTCGGCCTAGAGCTTCTCACTAAGAAGCTTGTAAGCATCCTTCTTCTCAGCAAGCTCCCGAGTCTCGGCCTCGTGACGCTTGAACTCTTCCCGATACCGGAGAAAGGCCTCGTGATGAAGTACCGAGGCCTGGAAGCACAAAGGAAAATGTTACGATTATTCATGATTAAATCTAAGTACATAATGAAAGGACATTCAAAATTACCCGATTCAATGATTGTTGAGCTTGGTTGAACAAGCAGGGCGATTCCACCTCGTTCATTCTAGCTTGATCTTCTTCGGTCACCAAGCACCAAAGGTAACTGGCAATCCCCACCGGGGCATAGAGAACCCGGGCGTCCTCCAGAATGGGCATAAAAAATGCACATCTCCGAGTAGGATCAACACTCGGAGCTGGGAACTGATTCACTAATTTTGGGCTTGAAGAAGACCCGCCAGCTCCCGGGGACAGTATCTTTTTTGGTACTAGTAAGTCACCCAACCCGGTGACATCCTCCGAAGCAGTAGAATCTAGTCCATCAAAGCAATTGTGGAAAGAATCGGCTGCTCCTTGGGCCCCTTCGCCGAGGTTAACTTTCAACGTCTGAGCCTCGTTTATCAGAGAATTGGTAAACGAAGGCGACCCAGAGAGATCAATCACCCCAAGGCTATGATAACTAGGTCTAAAGGACCCAACGTAAAAGGGTAAGTGTAAACATTTAGAAAGCATCAACGCAGGTGGTGATCGATTCCTCGGGGGTAGGGACCACTATGAGTTTATCTTCCCTGTTGCAGTCCTCTTTGACTTTAGTGAGGATACTTACAGTAATAGTACATATGTGGCTAGCACCGACTCGGTACCAAGGGGGTTTTCTCGACCTTGAAGTCGGCCCCAGTTGGGAATCCCAAAGGGACAAATGACTTTAGAGGGGGTTCCGGTGTTGGTTCCTCAGTTGTAGCATGCGAAACATTTTCAGATGGTTTCGAGGAAGAAAGGGTTTCTTTTTTAGGAACAGATTTTGAAGTCTTTGACATTTCTTCTAAATAAAAGAGAGAAGATGATGTTGGTAAAGGAGGAGTTGTAACTCGTAGGTAACATATGAAGAAATTTCAAAGAACTAACAAGGAAGAGCAAGAGTTGGAATGGAAAAGGTTCTAATGAAAAGATTGAAGGGTATTTATAGGTTTCCCAAACGACGGTTCACATCCCAAGATGGCCAACCATTAACTGACACACATTTAATGCCTCGAAAACTGGATCGACTAGACATTTTCACTATTCTTATCACTTACGTCATGAATTCATCGTCGTGATTTATCGAAGTGAGAATCGAAAGCTCGAATCGTTTCTTATCATTTACTCTCTGAAAAACAAAGGGATTTTGACGTCATATTTTTGTCACTTATGTCATGATCAGGCCGGGGTCAAAATATCTGTGATCGGGTGAAGTCGAGCTAGAAGATCGATCTAATGTCTAACACCATCAGCCAAGATCATCACATGGTGATTATGATCGAACCCAAAGAACTGTCAAAATTAGCCATCGAAACCATCAGATTTGCCCTCGAGTTTGCCGAAGGCATAACTGGTCCTGTTTCTAACGGTCTCGAAGAAAGTTTTGCCAACTCATCCGACAAGGGTCCGTAATTCTCGCCATTAACCAATCATTATTGTGAAAATCACGTAACGGCTCAAAAGGGGAACCAACGGCCAGCAAATCAAGGACTTTTGCCTTTTATAGAACAATAAAATAATATCTCAAAGGGTAGATCTCCCCTAATATATAGGGAGGGACTTGACAATTCATAAGGGATATTGTAAGACACACCAAAAAGCAATATACTGCTATTTCTAGCTTTGTCATAGTTCATTTTACTCCGACATCGATAATATTATTTCTAGCTTGAGGGAAATTAATTTCACAAGGCTAGGTTTGCTCAACTTGCGTGGTTTGCATTTATCTTTTGTCTTTTATTTTATAATTAATCTTACTTACCACTTTGTATCAAATTGGATCATGTATCCTTAAAATCGTATATAAATTCAATTATTATTCGATTTTGAGGGTAAACAAACATAAAAGGATCCATTATATGTAATTACCTATTTGAAGTGGTTGGAGCATTATGTTATTGTTCGCTTTCCCATCTATTTGTTCTTTTATTCTATTTAACTCCATCTTACAGTATTAGAATCTTCACCTCAGATTTCAAGTTCATTTATGCTATTGTTTTTTATATCCCTTTTATCAATATATTCTCCATCCACGTTTTTCTATTTTTGCTAAGACTATTTTTTGTTTTTGCTTTTTTTTTTGGATGACATTTTGTATTTGATTAATTTTGTTAGGAGTTGTATAAATTTATAGCTTTAAGTTTTACAAGGAGTAATTCGTGATAAATTTGAAAATGAAGTTGTCTTAAATTATTTTCATAGTAATTGTTGATAAATCTAGTATTTATAATAATTCAATATATTTTAGTAAATTTAACAGTTATCATTTAATACGACCAGTTAAACCTACTACTAAAATATTATTAAACTATATCAAATGATACAACACGTACATCATGAAATGATGGGTAACAACCATCAAAACAAGCTATATATCACATAATTAAGAAGTTGACTCGCTGCTGCTTTCACGAACAGTATTACGCAAGCACAAGTTCAGAGTCTTATTCGATACAAATAAATTATACTAGTATCTAGCTCTAATTATAGGGATGGATTGGGAGTCAATGGATTAGGAACTGTGATATGCTCAAAAAGTATTTTGGATATGCTATTTTTAATTTCAGCGTTTTGAATTCCATGCCCATCTCCATGCAGATACATGCACTGTGCCGTTCTTGCAATATTCTTTGCGATTTCAACAAATATTCTAGAAAATAGCAAGTTTTCTCTCTGAGCTTTGTTCATCATTTCCCATGTCTCCTTTATCAAATGTTGTATGCGTTCTCTTGCCTCTTCTTCGGAAACACCCTTTTCGTTTATGTAACACTGTATAGATTTTGGAACGTCCCCCCTCTTCAATTCATCCTGAAATAAATACATGAATAAATAAATTAAATGAGACATCAAGATTTGCTACGCCTATTTCATGTAAAAGAAAGGTATAAAAGCATACAGATGATGTCCCTAAATCATCGACGAAGCGAAAAATTGTTGAAGACCAGCGAATTATGTCTGGGTACTTGCTTAGTGATTCCAATTCCTCTTTGGTAATTGGGTTGGTAACTAAGAAGAATGCGTGGATTAATATCATAGGAATTGAAATTGAGATCCATGCGTTATCCATGTATTCTTGCAGAGTTGGCTTATGTCCATTATAGTACCATCTTGCTTCTCGTAAATAAGCTTTGCACAAATCTGCCCACTAATTAATTAACGTGCATGTGTTTCAATTAGCAGATTAGATATATAGGAAATTAATAAAATAGGCATATTTAATCTCTGGGACTAAAAGAATGTATTCTAAATACAACGATATCAATTCTTACTGATTTTGAAAGGTAGGGTAGGATGTTGATACCCTGCTCTTTTAGAACTTCATATGCCATTTCATTGATTGTGTTGAACAGCGCAAGGTACATTACTTTCATGTATTCCGGAAGTTGCTCCATTGCTGTTAGCTCCCATCTGAATTTATTATTATTTTATATTTTCACATCAATAGAAAGGAGAACTGATAGAGGAGTAAATTAATTAGAGTAAGTAGGTGAAATTTGAACGTACGTGAAAAGGAGAAGCTAATTATTAAAAACAATTCTTGAAAATGCTTGTCGCTTAATCATTAGCTATAAGTTGAGTAATGTTTTGTGTTACGCAAGATTAATGAATTGTTACAGATGTAGTTACTTTAATTACCTTTCTACAGCATCAGTGAAGAGTAACTCAGGATAAGTCCCATAAATATCATAAATATCATCAATGGATGTAACAAAAGCAATGATCTTTGTCAGCATTACTCGGCAATGTCCTTGTTGAGGCTCAAATACTATCCCTACTCCCCAAAAGAAAGCCTCCGCTAGTCTGTCCCTTGAAAATGGCAACTTCTCTGCCAGGCATGTGGTCTTCCACCACCTTTAAATATAATTAATTACTCATTAATGCTATACATGAGAAATTATCAAAAACATGTTCTAAATAATTAAGCAGAAATACTTTTTTAGTTCCTCCTAATTAATTAACCTTCAGATTTTTGGTAAACTTATGTATTGACTATGGACATATATTTATAGATACTCACCTTGATACATCTCTTAATTCTTCTTGATGTGTTGCTTGAACAATGTTGAAGTCCAACTTGGCAAGCTCAAGCAGAAGAGGATTAGCGTTTGGCATTTTCTCATAAACGTTTATGAACCATCTTGTCTCTAATCTCAACATCATCCAATGCGAAGGGAGTTCCAATGCATGGCGGACTAATGTTGCTGTTATATTCTCCTCACCGTGTTCATAATTTTCAAGATAATTCTTCAGCTCCGACTTTGTGACTCTTGTAGCGGATTTCAAAGTGTTTTCTGTTTCTGTAGCAAAAAACGAAGCTTCGTACAATTGCAACATTCCTTTTGGGTCTTTACCAAGACTTTCCTTGAAATTACCGTTCTCAATCTTGAAACTGTTCAATATATCTAAACAAGGGGAAAAATCTAAATATATGTTCAAATCTTTCACGTAATGAGATCTTTAATTATATATATATATACACACACATAATATTCTATCATAGAGACCGATTATTGGTAATCGTAGAGGCTATATATCTATAAAGATGATTGTTATATACAGAGAGATAATTTTACAAAAAAACGTACTGCAATAAAAATGGTTATTGTTGTTAATAATTGGTAAAATGTTGTTTTAGTAAGAGATATAATATAATATAAAAAATTTGGTGCCAAAAAGATTTTGATTTTATATTAAAATATTATTATATATAGATTGTTATATAGAAGTCTAACTATATATTCTTTTCAAAACATTGATAACTCTATCGATTATGATTTAGTTCTATTTTTCTTACATTGGTAAATCTTAAACTGTGTAACTAATACTATAATAACTTAATTTTGGGTAATTATACGAAACACCTTTATAGTATGATTTCGTTTCGGATACACTCCCTATAACTTATCAAATACTTACACCCTCTATACTAGGGCTGCTTTTCGGGCGGATTGGGCGGTTAATTACTCTTAACAGTTTGGCTTAACGGTTATCGGTTTTTAAATGTATTAATCCGCTAGCCATCCGATAAGATATCGGGCAGATTGGTATCGGTTTAGCTCTTATCGGGCGGTTATTGGGCGGTTTATCGGCCTAATTCAATCTATATTGCGTGTAATTGTTTGCTGACCGCCTAACATACAAATTCAGAATAGAAAATTATACATTGAGTCCAGACATACATGTATTTTAACGCCTACATAAGAATGATGTAGTGTCATGTGTTGTAGAGTGAAAAAAGATGTGGCACAACACTGTTGTTCTTCTATTAAACATAGACAACATGCATTAGTTTTAAAAAATAAAAGCAGAGGTGAACCATAGACATCAACTTAAACAATCTTGTTGTAGGGTGGGAGAATAAGCTAAGCTAAGCCAAGCCTGGGATCTTCTGATGCATAGTACGTAAGGATTCTGATTATTTAGGAATTAGGCGTTAGAACTTAGAGATAGAGTACTGGAAGAAGTGGAAGGGTTTTTGATCTTTAATATATATATNCTATACTATGAAAATCCTACACTTGCACCTCTTATGAAGTATAATCTTTTACTAAGTATATTAAAATATAATTACTTAAAGACAAATTAAACTTGTAAATAAAAATTTCTTATATATTGATTTTTTTGAAGTTTAAAAAAAAAAGAATTAATATTTTTGTTAAAAAAATCTTATTAACGCCTTTTATGAATGTAAATGGGTTTATCTAGAATTGAATCATATAATAGGGGGTGTTTAGTGCAATTAAAGCTAGCCATTAATGCAGGTTTACATGTATATATGTGTATGTCGCATGTCAACATTCAAACGTATATAAGGTCGGACATTCCCCAAATGTTCCCCAAATGAACAGTACGTACGTACATACCTTGAGAAATATCAAAATCATGTTCTCTCAAGAGTTTAAATTTCAAAGCTGTAGCGTATAATAATGAATATTCTCCCGCGATTATGTTTCTGCCCTTCTTCTGTAATATATGTTGTTGGTGTATGCTTCTCAAAATTTGAAAGATTTCTTCCTTGAAGTGGTAACTCAGTCCAAGTCTTTGTAAGTTGTCAATCAGCTCCAGCTTGTCTAATTCTTCTCCATCAACATCGTCCATCATCTTCAACTTCTTCCGCATTTCCTCCTTCAGTTTATTTAATCGCTTCGTATAGTTGTCTCCCTACGTACGCAATTTTTTTAAGAAAAAACATTAACTTACTAATAAAATGATCATTTGATAAAATATTCGCGTGATTCTGATCCATGCAAATATAGTACACGGAGATATTAGTATATATTATCTTTGAGTAACAAGAAAGACTTAATAATAACAGGCTGTACCACATAATCATTGTTAATGGATTGGATATATTCGAAATGCCATGTAGGAGGTTTGTAATTCCCAGAACGCCTATGGGTATTCATATTTGTGGGAATAGAGCTGTGACTCAATGGTGGTTCAGCTTTTGGACTAGTGGAATTAGCTTTAGACATGCTGCAGGCTTTGGCTTTTGATATAAGTGATGCCTTTCTACCACTGAAAAAGGAAAGAGAAGGAGTTGCAGGTCTTATGGAGGTGGCCATAAATAGCATCTCTACTTTGTTCAAATTTGATCAAATTTTATGAGTGGAAAGATTTTTTTAATATGGTAATTGGATCCCAAGCAGTTGGCATATATATATAAGGAAAAATAAAAAAAATTAGTTTCGCAATTAACCTTTATGAATAATACCACACTATTCTTATTTTTAGTATAATTAACAAATATTACTCTAAAAGCTGATGAAATTAAATATAAAGAAAAAGTGGGCGCCTAATAGTCCAAAGTAAAGCCAAAAACCAGCCCCCAGCCCCTCCCATTCTTCATCTTCATCACCCCGGTCCCCCCTCCCCTTCCTCCTTCAAGCTGTTCTTCTCCTTTCACAAATTTTCCTTCTTCTAATCCTTTAAACACTTCTACATAGAAACCCTAGAGGCCCAAAAACTAAAAATTAAAAACTTTCCAAAAAAAAAACCTTAATTAATACTCAGTTTAAATGTGTAATCCAATTTCTTCCTAAGACCAATCAAAATCAAAAGTCATGCACACTCTAACAATTATGATGTTAAATTTCTCATACCCATTTACCTTCCAAGTTCTTCTTCTTCTTATATTTTTTGAAAATTTTGTTTTTGTTAAATCTGTTGCGGATAACTCTTGGCTCTCGTTGGTTCACCTTTTCAATTCTTTTTTGTTTTTTGTTTTCCTTTTATCAGAATTAAATTCTTTATATAACTAACTAGCAAAATTTTCATTTTTGGCTTGAAACCTTTACCCATTTCAGAGTAAGAGGATGATCCGCCAGAATAAGGACATTATTTCTTCTTCACGTTGCAATTTAGCTTCTTTTTATCCTATCTAAATGTTAGAAGTTCAATGGAAGATAGTCACTTTTTATGAATGAATCATTTGTTGTGATTGTGGTTGTTGTGTGCGATGGTTTTGCTGGTGGTGGTTTGACAGGTTTGGTGGTGGATAACGGAGAAGAAAGGATTGGATGACATGGAAAATAATCTTTTTAAAATATGACATAGTATTTGTCGTGGCAGCGACATGGCAATAACGTGAAGGCAAGTGTAGAACACTTCCCACCACGTGGCTGGTTATATGTGTGTTAGGGAAGTGTTTGTTACATTTAAAAAAAAAGATAGGCGGTATTAGGACGTCGGTAAAGGTTAAGTGTGAAATTAATTTTTTGGTACGAGTACACATTATATCTTATGTATTTTCCTTATATATAAAGAGAATGCTATATATCATGAAATAAGTCGTCACCTTGCCTGCATAGCTATAGACGAATCTTAGCTTCTATTCTGTGCGTGGCATATTAAAGAGTGAATATTCTAAAATCTAAACTATTATGCTTTTGTCAATTACCTACTTAAACTATATGGTGTCACCAAAAAGTCTCTTGAATTATATTCCCTTGCTTATTTAAAGATGAAACCATTGATTTCTTGGCAGAATGTGTGAATGAACTCATCAAAACACACATGAGAGATGAAATTATGCATAACAATGGCCCCACCAAGCCGTGTATAACGACTAATTAGTGTTACCCTTTCTTCTTCATTTCTTCTTTATCTATTTCTCCGTAATTTTTCTTTCTTGAAAGAATATCCATTTAAATTTTTCAGTAAATCCAACACACCGCAGAGAAATGAAGTTATTCATCTTTTGTAGATGTGAATCCATCCCCGTGAAAATCGAAGGTTGACAAAAAAAATAATCAATCGAAGTTTAATAGGGAGATATAGTTCGGGGGTTTTGGGAGCACTGATAGCTTAAATAAATAAATAACAAAAGTATAATAGTTTAAACGGGTTTTAGGATATTCATTCTATTAAATGAATGTAGTCAAATATCATATGAACTAAATTCATAATTTATTAATAAATGAGGGACCAATACTGCTAATGCTTTACTAAAATATGTTAATGTAATTAATTTAAAAAATTAAAATAAATGTTAAAATGATGCTACTTGGCAAAAGAGCTCTGCAACTCTCCTGGTTGAGGGCCAAGATTTCCCATTTGAGCGATGGATTCGAATCCTGACAGCTTCACATTTTTGATTTGAGGCTTTTTGTCCCTTTTCCTATTCCATCAGCTAAAAGATTAAAGATACATACTACTCTCTCCGTTTCAATTTAGGTGATGTAGATTGATTTGATATAAAGTTTAAGAAAAAAGAAGAAGATTTTTGAAATATGTGGTCCTAAAAGCTTAAGGGCAAAAGCTTTGTTGGGCCATGACATTTGTGTGACTATAAAAGCTTCTCATTAATGGTAAAACGGTAAAAATAAATTTAAAGCTAAATCATTTCTAAATATAAAAATATGCCATTCTTTTTGGAACGGGCTAATAAATAAAGTGTGTCATTTAAATTAAAACAGAGGGAATATGAAACAAACCAGAGATTATACCTGAACCAACTGATTGTATTAACTCACCAAATGGAATTACAATATCCAAATGTCCACAAAACAATAGAAAACAATACTGGGGGAAATAGAGACGAGATGAGAAAAGAAACTGCAACAGGAAACTAAGAAGAAAGGGGATGAGATACAGATTCAGAAGAGGAGTTGAGAAGTACATACTTGAGCCGAAGCTTCAACATAATTCGCATAATCCTTCTTTCTAATCTCGTAGTCCTTTTTATCTACTTGCTAACTGGGCCTGGATCCCAAATATAATTCTCCAATATTTTACTTAGTCCAATAATCTTAATTGATCCAGTAACGACCCGACATGTCGTTTTAAAAATTTACGCCTCATTCAATGACTTAAGGTCTCGAGAAGCTTCATAATATGTATTATTACCCGCGGGTGTGGTCGAGTTTGATTTACTGAAGATTCATAATTTAATTAAAAGAACAATCCTTATTTAGAAGCTTAAATGGAAAGAGTTGACTGGAGAGTTGACTTTTGAGTAAACGACTCCGAAATTAAATTTTGATGATGTCAATAGCTCCGCATGGTAATTTTGGACTTAGGAGCGTGTCCGGAAAATTATTTGGAGGTCTGTAGTGGAAGCAAGCTTGAAATGGCAAAAATTGAATTTTGGAAAGTTTGACCGGGGGATTGACTTTTTGATATCGGGGTCAAAATCTTATTCTGAAATTTGAATAGCTTCGTTATGCCATTTATGACTTGTGTGCAAAATTTGAAGTTATTCCGGATTGATTTGATATGTTTCGGCACAAGATATAGAATTTTAAAGTTCAATGTTCATAGATTTTGATTTGAGGTGTGAGTCGTCGTTTTGATATTGTTTGATATGATTTGAGGCCTCGAGTAGGTCCGTGTTATGTTATAAAACTTGTTGGTATATTCGGACGGGGTCCCGAGGACCTCGGGTGAGTTTCAGATGCTTAACGGATCGAATTTGGATTTGGAGGAGAAGCTGAAGCAGCTGGGCTGCTAGTGTAATCGCACTTGATGAGCCATTTGTGATATGTGAGTACTTGATGTGTAGTTGTTGAAATCATATTTACTTTGGGACTATGGAACGGTATTCCGGGAGATCCCCTGCCCTGCATATTTTCTTTGGGACTACGGAACGGTATTCTGGGAGATCTCCTGCCCTGCATATTTTCTTTGGGACTACGGAACGGTATTCTGGGAGATCTCCTGCCCTGCATATTTACTTTGGGACTACAGAACGGTATTCCGGGAGATCCCCTGCCCTACATAGTTACTTTGGGACTGCGGAACGGTATTTCGGGAGATCTTCCTGCCTTGCATATTACCTTTAGGACTACGGAACGGTATTCTGGGAGATCCTCCTGCCTTGCATATTAACTTTGGGACTACAGAACGGTATTCTAGGAGATCCCCCCTGTCTTGCATATTTACTTTTGGGACTACGAGGCGGTACCTCGAGAGTGCCCTTTTGTTGATTTTTTTCTATGGGTGCACTTGCCTTTGGTTATATTATTTTTTCGTGATATGTAAATTTTTATATTCTTCCGTGATGTATTATTTGATTTTATTATGTGTTTTGTATTCCTTGTTGTATCGTGTTGGTTTTGGCTCTTTGTACAAGACTCTACAGATTTGTGTTTATGGTTTTTACTGGTTTTCGAGAATTGAGTTGTTTCGGATAAAATAAATTGCTATTATGTTTTAATTTAATAAATTTTATATCCAAATTAGTAGTCATTGGATGCTTCATTTTAATTGAAATATCATTTTCTTTACCCAAATAATTTCTAAAATAAATTTATTCCTTTGTTGATTTCTTACTTGATTTACAAATTTTAACTTCACTTTAGTGAAAATAAATTGATCATGTAGATCTTATGTACATTGATATTTTGACACGTGAGTTGTCTGTGTGATGGTGATAGAAATATGGGCATGAGGTGCCGTGAAAAAATATGAAAGTGGGCTACGACCCGTAATATTTATGATTGTGAAATGAGGTGTCACATGGCGACTTTTACTTGAAAATATATTTATTGGAAAGTATTATATCTTGAAGATTTTTATTTGAAAAGCATATAGGCGAAAGAATTTATATTCGAAGGACTTGATTAATTGGTTGTACTTGTGTTCCTTATTCGTCTGAGCAATAATTATGATGTTCATATTGCATTGTTGTTATATCACTGGTTGATTTTGTTGTTATCATTGCTAGTTATTTTCCAGTATTATTTTGTATACTATATTGCACAGGCTATTAGACTAGTGAGTGTCTTGACTGTACCTCGTCTCTACTCCACTGAGGTTAGTCTTGATACTTACTGGGTACCGACCGTGGTGTACTCATACTATACTTCTGCACATTTTTGTGCAGAGCCAGGTATTGGAGGTATCAGACCCATACAGAGTTAGAGTGTGATCACAAGGATTCAAGGTAGAGCTGCTTGGTCGTTGCAGTCCCTTGAAGTATGTTCATTTCATTGTACTATTAATTTTTAATCAAACAATATTGTATACTTGGTCCTCGTGATCATTCAATGTATTCACCTAGAATTTATGACTTAGTACTACCAGTCTTGGGAGGGGGGTGTATGTTCTTATTCGTTCCGCTGTTAGTTTTGGTTGCTTATTTAAATAAATAAGAAAAGAAAAATATCTTCAAA